TCAACACTCAGAGGTGACAGACTGTTTCATGCTAGACGCAATCATCAGGGCGGTCTGACGATTGCGTCTAGCATGAAACAGCCTGTCACCTCTGAGTGTTGACTACAATGTTCGCTTTTATATTTACATACGCTTTATCTCTGATATTGAGCACTTTATCCCATAATAATAGCACACCTTAAAACTCTATCTATCTATCTATCTATCTATATATATATATATATATATATATATATATATATATATATAGAGAGAGAGAGAGAGAGAGAGAGAGATAGGTATATAGGTATAGATATCTATATATTCAAGCCGCTAAATGTTGTTAATACTGTTTATTATAAACAGACCATTTGCTTAAGTATTTGTAACTATAAAAATAACGTATAAACAATAAATATATTAGAAGAAATAATTTTCGGACTTTCACAATATATATATATATATATGTGTGTGTGTGTGTGTGTGTTTTGTTTTGTGAAAACATTTCTCAGAATTAACCTATAGAAAAAGACAATATGTATAAAGGAAAAAAAGACAATATGTATAAAGGAAAAAAAGACAATAGGAAAACTGTATTTTTGGCCAACGCGTTTCATCTAATGTGGACTTTTTCAAGGCAAAAAAGGACATGAAATTATTGAAATGAAGTATCTATAAACAATAAACAAAATGCAACTAGAAGAATTAAAAAAAAACGTATCTATGAGCAAAAAAGATACCTCATAAATAACAAATGTATTAGTCATACAGGAAATAAATTCAGCAACAATTCTAATTTTATAAATGCTACACTCATAAAAAAAGAAAAATAATTCACTCCGAAGGAAAATCCTCGAGAGTGTCGCCATTGAATATTATCCAAATATTAATCTACGCCCAGCTTTTTTCTCAATATCACCTTTCCTAACAGAATCACCACTCTCCCAAGCCAAATCAAAAGAAAATGGTTGAATCTGTCAACACAACAATACAAACAATATTTCTACATGTGAAAATATTCTCTTCAAACATAAAGTGATTGAATTAATTTTTCACTTGACCATTTGAATATACAATAGCGTTTCTAAATTTTTCTAGTTGCTAGCGACATTTTGTTTGTTGTTCGTATATACTTTGTTTCAATAAATTAATTTCGTTTTTTACCTTAAAAAAGTCCATGTCGGACGAAACGCGTCGGCTAAAATAATATATATATATATATATATATATATATATATATATATATATATATATATATATATATATGTATAAAGAAACAATTTAAACAGAGAATATATAAGTATGGGAAAAAAATTGCGCCCTGAAGATGACAATTTGAAATTGTCGAAAGTACTTGGCAAGTCTCTCACATATGACAACAATTCGAATATAAAGATCTTATTATTCAAGGAATTGATAGTAAGTTAATGTCTCAGTAAGTTCTGTTAGCGAAGTGATTTCACCATTAATCACATTAACATTGCTTTTTAATTCTTTGTATAAATTGTTTCTTTATGGTATAAAATATAAGCTGCATCTTCTAATATCTTTACGACATCAGATCCGCAATGCAGTAATAATCAGAATCTTAAATTCTGTGGAAAACTACTAAGACATTTTTACTCTACTTAGTGGATTATACTTAAGTCCATGTCACTTTAACAGATAAGTACATATAACAAGAA